AGGCTGGCTTTGAACTCACCATCCTCCTTCCTCAGCCCCTCGAGCTGCTGGGATGACAGGGGTGTGCCACTGTACCTGGCCTCATTTGTTTTTTTTTAAGGGTATTGGGGATTGAACTCAGGGCCTCACACATGCTAGGCCAGATATCTCTGGCCCCTTTTATTTTATTTTGAGACTAAGTTGTCTAGCTGTCCTTGAACTTTCGGTCCTCCTGCTTTAGCCTTCATGGTAGCTGGGATTACCTGCATGTGCCACCACATCTGGTTTGCTGTTTTTCTTTAAAGACATCATTCAAGTATCATTCAATTTATCAACCTTCTCACTGCAAAGCTTAAGCCCATTTGAACATAGATATGCAAGCAGAAGTTTAATAAATGCTAATTGAACTCTTCATATAAAAGTCAAGTTGATTTGCCTTTTCTTTACCCTACTCTGAATCTGAAACAATCCTGATGTTTTAGGACTGCTTTTCTTGCTTAAAATATTCTGTGAAACAGCCTCTTCTGAAGCCTCCATGAATCTGTTGCTTGTTGAGGCTATCATGTGCACTAGGCACTCTTCTGAACATTTATATGTACTAATCAATTTAATCCTCTTGACAATATTATGAGGTAGGAGCCCTTATTATCTGCATCTTACAGATGTGGCAACTGAAACAAAAAAGTTAAATCACATTACAAGTGATTATATTACTGTTAGCTTCCTTGGGGAATTTATAGTCCATTACAGATACAAAATAAAACAAAATCTATGGAAAAATTAAAAATCAAACAAAATAAAGGGAAAATTGGACACTGTAAGACAAGTAATTCATCTCTTTTGGATTCCAGTTTCCTCATATGTATAAAAAGGAGCTTGGATTTGCCCAAGATTGCATAGCTTATAAATGACAGAGCTGGGGCAGGGCTGGGGTTGTGACTCACAATGGTAGAGCACTCGCCTAACAGGTGTGAGGCACTGGGTTTGATCCTCAGCACCACATAAAATAAATAAAATAAAGGTGTTGTGTCCAACTATTACTTTAAAAATTTTTTAAAAATGATAGAGCTGGAATCTAAACTTGGCTGTTCTGACTTCAGAACTCAATCTTATAATTATACTACAGTACCTGCCAGTTCATGTCCTGATTTTGTTCCAGTGCTACCTTTCTGTTCCCAACAAGTATTTATGTGAACTAGGTACCTGCTGTTTTCATCTACAAAATATATCAGTGCCCAATGAGCAGCCTAGATAAGTTAGTCTCAACTTAGTCTCTGTCTCTTCTACTCCCTATATCCTCAAAGATCCCAGGAAAACCATGAATCTTCATTTAAGAACATGGACAAAAAGGCAAAAATATGAGAATAATGGCTTGGGTTCTAGAATCTTTGTATGTGTATATGTGTGTGAGTGTGTGTGTGTGTGTGTGTTAAAATACACATCAATTTGCCATTGTAACCATTCTTAAGTGTATTGCTCAAGTGGCATTAAGTACATTCAGAATGTTATGCAACCATCCCCACCATCCATTTCTAGAACTTTTTCATCTTCTGCAACTAAAACTCTCTATCCATTAAACACTTTGCAATTCCCTTTCTTCAGCCTTGGCAATCACTATTTTACATTTTGTCTTTATGAAACTGACTACTCTAGGAACCTCTTATAAGAGGAATCATACAATCTCCATCCTTTTGTGCTTATTTCACTTAGTGTAATGTCTTCAAAGTTCATCCATGTTGTATCATCTGTTAGAATTTCTTTCCTTCCTTCCATTTATTTATTGGTACTGGAAATTGAACTCAAAAGCCCTTTACCATGGAGCTACTTCTCCACCCTTTTTACTTTTTTTGAGATAGGAGGGTCCAAATTACTTAGGGCTTTGCTAAGTTACTTAGACTAATCTTGAATTTGCAATCCTCCTGTCTCAGCCTCCTGAATTGCTGGGATTACGGGTGTCTGACACTGAACCAGGTGTCTCCTTTCTTTTTGAAGGCTGAATAATATTCCAACATATAAACCACATTTAACTTATCCTTCATTTGTCTGTGGACATTTGGGTTGCTTCTGCTTTCTACTTACTGCGAAAAATGCTGCTATGATCATGGGTGCACAAACATCTTTTTAAGCCTATGCTTTCACTTCCTTTGGATAAATATCTTGAAGTGGCTGGAATATCTTAACTGGCTCATACGTTAACCTATGTTTGACGTTTTGAGGAACTATCACAAATTGTTTTCCAATTTGCATTCCCACTGCATAAGGGTTCCAATTTCTCTGCATACTTCCCAACACTTGTTATTTTCTGCCTTTAAAAAAAATAATTGCTATCATAATAGGTGAAAAGTGGTATCTCATTGTGGTTTTGATTTGCATTTCCCTAATGACTAAGGTTGAACATCTTTTTTTTTTTTTTTTTTAAAGAGAGAGAGAGAGAATATCTTTTGTGCAGATGGACACAACACAATGCCTTTATTTTTATGTGGTCCCACCCGTGCTAGGGGAGCGCTCTACTGCTGAGCCACAATCCCAGCCCAATGGGCCTGGCATGTGTGTGGCCCGGGACTGCAGTAAATATTAAAATTCTCTCTCTTTGAAAAAAAAATCACAGCCCAAGGTTGAGCATCTTTTCATGTGCTTATCAGACATTTGTATGTTTTCTTTTGAGAAATATCTATTCAATTACTTTGCCCATTTTCACTTTTTTTGTATGAAAATTGGATTGTTGTTAATACTGTTGAAACTTTGTTATTGTTGTTATTGCTAGAAACTTTCAGAGCTTTCTTACTTCTAGAAGTTTCTGTGGGGCTTGCATTTACATGGATGATGCAATTTCAGTCCCTGGGTTGGTTGTTGGCAGGATCCTTGCTTTTGCAGGGTGAAATAACCAGAATTTTTTTCAGACTAATTAATTAATCAAATAGTTCATTAATTATATCATAATCAAAATAGTTACTCTTTTGCTGTGTCAGATTTCAAGGCTAACACACACACACACACACACACAAAATACATGTTGTACATACATTCTGTTTACATGAAGTACAAGAACTGTCAAAACTGACTTATGGTGGCTAGAAGTCAAAATAATGGTTAGTTCTGGGGTAGCAAGTAGTTACTGGAAGGGAATTTTGGGGGTTAATAGATCTGTAACTTGATCTGGGTGGTGCTATCACAGGAACATAGATAAAAATTTTATTAGGTACACATGTTATGTTTTTGAATTTTACTGTATATAACTTTTTTTAATATTTATTTTTTAGGTGTAGATGGACACAATGCCTTTATTTTTATGTGGTGCTGAGGATCGAACCTGGGTCCTGCCCGTGTGAGGCAAGCACTCTACCGCTGAGCCACAATCCCAGCCCTACTGTATATAACTTATAACTCAGTTTTCAAAAGTTAAGAAAAAAAGCTTCAAAAGATTTCTCAAGCTATTTTAAACCCTTTTGGTGTCAATTTCATAGATTCAAAGTCTAACATTCCCCCTTGTGGTTCTTTGTTTCTTTCTATACTCTTAAACCTAGTATTTAGCATGGCAGTTAGGATTCATATACATAACAAATATTTATTTAACACTGACTCTGTGTCAGGCATTGTGCTATATACTGTGGAAACATCAGTAAACAAGATGGATGAGGTTTCCTTCCTTGAGTAGTGCAGTATAATGGCCAACAACCTAGTATACTCTACTGAGGACAAATACATCCTGCTAAGAGATGCTAAGAGATTCTGTCTGGAGAGAGATCAGGGAAGGTACCCTTAGGGCAGCCATTTTTGACCTGGGATCTGAAGACTGATGAGTTACTATATAGAGAAAGAATTTCGGACAGAGGGATCAGTATGTGCAAGAGTCCAGAGAAGGAAATACAATGTGTAGAAAAGGTCATTGTTGGCTAAAACTCAGGAGAAGGAAGAGGGGCCTGAGATAAGTCTGGGAGATGTGAAGGCAATAGAAAGATATTTGGCCTTTGTATTGTGAGCAATGAGAAGCCATTACATAGTTTTAGTAAGTGATATGATCAGATTTGTGACTAAAAACTTACTCTGACAACAGAGCATAGCATATACTGGAAGGGCACTCAGAGTGGATATGAAAATGTCAGAAGTCCCTCTTGTACTGTCTAAGTGCACAGTGTGTACTTAATAAATATTTATGGAATGAAATATTTCCTCACTCCCTTTTCCAGATGGAACTAAAACAACTGATTTATTCAGTTTACAATCCACCTGCTCACCTATCTTCTGTGATGCTGGTAACAGACTCCTAACTCCTACTTTACAGATGAGAAAGCTGAGATTCAGAGAAGCAAAGAAAATAAGAATCTGTCAAGTGATATCTAGATCTGAACTAAGTCCAATAAAACAGACACTAAGTCCAGTGCTGGGGAGACCTCCTTACATTTGGGGAAGAACAGAGAGGTTATACTCACTTGTTCACTCCAGAATTATATTTTTTGAGAGCTTAATGAGTTTGCTAAGGGTAGAGGTGATGATGGGAAAAAGAGACTTATAGACAAACAATAAAAGCTGTTATCCTGTTATCTTTTTCATCGTCATTATTATTAGACACTATGCCTAATAACCACGTTACTAGACACTATGTGTCAAGCACTGTCCCAAGTGCTTTCCGTGCCTTTCCTCATTTCCTCTTTGCAAGAAAATTGTACTATCCCCATATTTCAGATGGACAAACTAAGACTTAGGGAGTTGGCCTGTCCAAGTTTACTCAGCCAGGGTGCTGGCATAAAGCTGACCACTGGTGAGAATACAGCAACGCCAAGCAGAGGAAATCTAGTCTCCACTACTAGTCTCCAACACCAAACCAGCCAGCGCGCGCGCCACCTCGCGCTCGCGGAGACGCTTGGTCACGTGAGCAGGACCCCGCCCCTCCGGTCCGCCCCGCCCCGCCCCGCCCGCGCTCCCTCCCTCTCTCCCTCCCTCCCCCTCCCTCCCCGGCCCGGTCCGGCCCATCCCCCCTCCCCACCGGCTCCCTGAGGCCCTGCCGGGTCGGGCTGCTGGCGGCCGGGCGCCGACGGCCGGACAGACGGGCGCAAGCGAGGACGGGCAGACGAACGCACGGACGGCGGCGGGCACGCACGGCCCGGGCCGGCGCTCCGAGGCCCGCCCGGGAGGGCCGGGGCCGCGCTCAGGTGAGGCGACGGCGACGCGGGCCCGTAAGGGGTGGGCCTGCCGGGCGTCCGCGGTCCCAGCCTGGCTGGCTTCGCCGGGAGGAGGCGCCGCCCGGGCCTGGCGCGGGAAAATGGCGCCGGGCGACCGTGCAGCTCGACCCGAGTGCGGGCCCGGCCCGGAGCCGCCCTGCCCGCCCGCCGCGCTCGTGTCCCCGTCGCCATGTTGGGGAGCGGGCCCGGGGCCTGCGGGGCGGGGGCGCTGGAGGGAGCGGCGGCCGGACCCGGGTTGGGGAGGGTGCGGGACGCGGGGTCCCAGGCGAAGAGGGAGTGCAGGGCCGGCCGGGGTCTGCACGGGGTGGCGCTCCAGTCCTGGGGAACTGGCGGGAGCCGACGTAGGGTCGTGGCCAGGGTCGCGGAGAAGAGACACTGAATCGGAACGGAACCGTGGTTGGGGCCATGGACTGAGGGGATGGCAGGTTTTGGAGCTGGCTTAGGCCAAGAGTAGTGTTCTAAACCCTATGGCAGGTACGTCCTAGGGTGAGGGGAGGTGACCTGGGGGCCATCCTCAGGCTGTCAGAGCTGGAGCAGTTCTTTGCAGAGAGGGGAGGAGGTGATTGGTTAGAAAGGGGGTACAAACGAAGGTATCAAATTGGGGCGGTCCCGGGGCTGAATTGCAAGTCCTTATGACTCTCAAATGACTGAGGACTTTTGAGATCCCTGTAGCCTTCACCCATGATTGTGGGGAGCAACAGGAAAAGAAAAGAGCTTGATGAAAAGAGTAGGCGTAGATGGGGGTGCTGAGGCTTAGATGTAGGAGCTGGCCAGCAAAAGGGGTACAGAGAGTGGAAGTGGTTGGCAAGAAGGGAGAACCTCCTTCAACTTATGGTTTTGTGTGTGTCTTTAAAAGGAGGGACTGGGCTGTTTGGGGGCGGTGACCCAAGGTGTCTTCCCAGGAAGGGGACAGCCCACTGCTTAAGAGCAGGGTCACCTGGGGAGGTCATCAGAAAGTCGTTATTGAAGCCAGTTAGAATGGTGAAGAAGAGTGAATGTGTTAAAAACGACAAGTGCCTTAGAGATCACGTAAGGATTTCAGATCAAGTATTGATTTTATAGCTAAGACACAGAATGGTAAAGTTGACTTTTGAAAGTCTTACACCTTGGTGACAGAGGGGGTTCCTGGAAGTGGTTTGCTAGCTCCTTGTTCAACACATTGCCTTAAAGGACTTTGCTGTTTGGAAGAAAAGTGTTAAGAGTCAAACATGACAGCATATATTAGAGAATCATTAATTAATTTACTGCATTTTGTATATTTGTAACAAGTTTTGTGAGTTCAAAGGCTGAAAGGGAATCAAAAAAGTCTAGGTAACCGGCTATAGGATATGACCCAGCTCACCTCCATTGACAAAGAGGTTATCTTTAAGAACCTCTAACTTTCTGAAGTTTTGAAAGAGGTGTTCTTTCTCTTTTAGATGTTTTCTGTATAGCAAAGGGACACACACACACACACACACACACACACACACACACAACTAAAAAAGGGGGGGGGACAAGTGAACAGTGCTAGAGACCTAGAATCTGCATTGTTCTCAAACTTTAATTGAAGTTCTATCATGATAAATAATTATTCAGAGTTCCCATGGACTATGGGAAAGTTCTGAGGGAAACTGTAAATTAGTCATCATATACAGTTAGCCCTCTATATCCCTGAGTTTTGCATCTGTGGCTTCAACGAATTCCAGGTGAAAATATTCTTTTAAAAAATTATTATTATTAACTAAATCATATAGTAAAAACAACTACTTATATGGTGTTTACATTGTATTAAGTATAATAAGTAATCTGGAGAAGATCTATATTTTATATTTATATACAGAATATACAAATACTACACCATTTTATATAAGGGAATTGAGTTTCCACAAATTTTGATATTCTGGGAATCCTGGAATCAATATTCCATGGATACCGAGGGATGACTATAATAGATCTAGGACCCTAAATAATCAAAATTTTAAGACTTTCAACAAAAAGTCCATTTATTTATTCATTTTCTGGGGAGTGCTGGGAATTGAACCCAAGGGTGCTTTACCACTGAGCCACATCACGCCCCTTTTTTATATTTTATTTTGAGACAGGGTCTTGCTGAGTTGCTTAGGCCGTCACTAAGTTGCTGAGGCTGGGTTTGAACTTGCTATCCTCCTACCTCAGCCTCCTGAGCTGCTGGGATTACAGGCCTGCTCCACTGCACCAGGCTCAACAAAAAAGTTATGAATGTATTTATAAAATGAGATTTTCAATACCATACACAGCAACACAATTCATTTGTTCTGTTTTTCTTTTTTTGTTGTTGTTGTTGTGCTAGGGATCAAACCCAAGGCCTTGTGAAAGTTAAATATATACTACTCTACCACTGAACTATACACCCTGGTTCTGTTCTGGATCTTCTAATTCAGGGAGGCCTGACCTTATCTCTGCCATGGGCCCTTTTACCATCTAGTGGAGCATATGGATCCCTCTGAGAATACCTTTTTTTTTTTTTTTTTTTTTGAGGTGTTGGGGATTGAACCCAGGGCTTTGCACATGCTAAGTAAGCACTCTTCCACTGAGTTACATCCCCATCCCTTTAATTTAATTTAATTTTTAAGACAGGGTCTTGATAATTGCCCAGGTTGTACTCAAGCTTGTGATCCTCCTGCCTCAGCCTCTTTTGATTAGCTGAGATCATATTAACAAAATACACAAATCATGACATACATATACCACACAAACATACACGTGTTTCTTTATTAACACATTAAAAAAATCAGATCTAGGCTGCACTCGTAATCCCAGTAACTGGGCAGGCTGAGGCAGGAGGATTGCAAGTTCAAGGCCAGCCTTAGCAATTTAGTGAGGCTGTTTCAAAATTAAAAATAAAGCTGGGTGCAGTGGTGCACACCTCTAATCCCAATGGCTCAGGAAACTGAGGCAGGAGGATTGCAAGTTCAAAGCCAGCCTCAGCAACAGCAAGGTGCTAAGCAACTCAGTGAGACCCTGTCTCTAAATAATATACAAAATAGGGCTGGGGATGTAGCTCAGTGGTTGAGTGCCCCTTAAGTTCAATCCCTGGCACCCAATAAATAAATAATTTTAAAAAATTAAAAGGGCTGAGGATTAAGGATGTGGCTCAGTGGTTAAATGCCCCTGGATTTAATCCCTGATTCAAAAAAAAAAAAAGAAGGAAAAAGAAAAAGAAAGAAAATCAAATCTAGGATTGGGAGGGGTTCAGTGGTAGAGTACTTGTCTAGCATATGTGAGGCCCTGGGTTTGATCCCCAAAACAATGAATCAGATCTAGTGATGGGTCTAATCATTATAATTTCAAAGACATCATGAGCCTAGATAATACTTCAAGATATCTGTAGCAGCTATAGTATGATAAGAAGAAATTTGTGGGTTTTTTTTGTTACAGATTAGATTATGATCCTATTAGGTTTGTTACCTGTATTTATATTTGAGTAAAATGGTAACTTTTAGTTAGAGATTAGTGAAATGGTTTATTTTTTCCATCCAAATTCATAGATTCCTTTCCCCCCGAATTACACATATGTATTGCCCTCTGAACATTCTTTTAGATGTCATTTCTCTTCTACCACTAGGCATGTCTGATTCAATAAACATTATGGTGTGTGTCAAGAATTATGTTAGGTAGGCTCTGAGGAGTCAAAGGTCTTTAAGGCAGAGTCATTTCACTTTGGGTACTCAGTCCCTAGAGAGAAGTAGACATGTAAATAATGACAGTTCAGGATGGCAACTATTAAAGAGTCTAAGGATACAGAGGTGGCTATGTCTGCTCTAGGAACTTTTGTGAAGGAGTGACATTTGAGATATGTCCTGAAAGGTAAAAAAAAGTTTGCAAGTGAGAGTTGCAGAGAAGTGTTTTTCAGGTAAAGATAATTTAAAAAAAAAAAAAGTTATAGATGAACACAATATCTTTATTTTGTGTATTTATTTTTATGTGGTGCTGAGGATTGAATCTAGTGCCTCACGTGTACAAGGCAAGTGCTCTGCCACTGAGCCACAACCCCAGCCCCTGAAGACAAATTTTTAAGGATATAATTGAATATAGTTGAAGCAAAATGAATGCAAAGGTGTGGTCAGAGATTAGACTAGAAAGACTGTTTGGAACCTGGTTATGAAGAACCTTGCTAGGGAGTTTGGACTAAATCCTCAGCTCAGAGCTGAGATTCAAGATTTTTGAGAAGGGGAGTATATGATGAGGTTTAATTTTTTCAGAGATGAATGGATGCTTTTTCTCTGTAGATAGAGTGAAGAGCAGGGAAGAAGTAATGAGGGCCTGAACTATGGTAGAGGCCGTGGGCATTGAGCTGAGTTAGAATTTTTAGGTGTTTGTGATTGATATCATGAGTGAGTGGAGGTGGGAGTTATATTTCTCATTTGGGGTAGAAGCTGTCAATGACAGTTTTTTAAAAAGGGTTAGGGATGTAGCTCAATGGTAAAGCACCTATCTAGCATGCAGGAGGCCCTGCCTTCAATTCCCAGCACCATACACACACACACACTAAAAAAAAAAAGAAAAGAAAAGAGATGAAAATTTGCACAGATATTAAGGGAGAAAAATAATTTTGGTAGGATAACACTTTTAAAAAATATGTATTTACTTATTTTTTAGGTGTAGATGGGCACAACACAATGCCTTTATTTTTATGTGGTGCTAAGGACTGAGCCAGGGTCCTGCCTGCGCTAGGCAAGCGCTCTATCCACTGAGCCACAATCCCAGCCCCGAAGATAACACTTTTTGAGGTGTACTGGAGATTGAACCCAGGGTTGCTTTACCACCGAGCCACATCCCCAGGCTTTTTTATTTTTTAAGAATATTTAGGGCTGGGGTGGTAGCTCAGTGGTAGAGTACTTGCCTAGCACACGTGAGGCACTGGGTTCTATTCTCAGCACCACATAAAAATGAAATAAAGATATTGTGTCTACCTACAACTAAAAAATAAATGTTAAAAAAATTATTTT